TGGGGACATGTTCTTGAAGAACATCATGGGACCCTGGTCTCTTCCTTCCTCCCCAACCAGCTTTTCCACTTCTTGGTCATGAGCTGGTCAGCTTGTTCTGCCACAGACTTCTGTCATGATGTGCTGCCTCACCATAGGCCCAAAGCAGCAAGACCAATCGATCATGAAATGAAAACTCCAAAACTATGAATCAAAATAAACCTTTCTTAAGTGTATTATCTCAGGAGTTTAATGACAAAAGGCTGATTAGCACAGAACATTGGTACTGCAAAGTGGGGCTACTGACTCTAGCTATACCTGAGACAATATGTAGAGAAGCCTTTCGGAATTGACTTCCAGAAACAATCTGGAAGTCTGGAGAAATAACCTAGAGAAAGCCTAAAATGCTGTAAGCAGAGTCTAACAGATGACTCATGGAGATTCAGAACACCTGAATGCTCACAGGAATACAGACAGTAAAGGCAATGCTGATGAGTCTTCAGATGGAAACAAGCATTCTATTGGGAATCGGTCATCCTTACGATACTGTGTCAAGGAATTTACCTGATTTCATCCATGCCCTGAGACTTTATGGGAGGCTGAGCTTAAAGGTGACAGACTAGTTTATCTGACAGAGGAAATTTCAAGGCAGCAAAGCATTCAGGCTATGGCATGAGTACTACTATCTGCTTTTAGTCAAAGTTACTGTGAGAACTGGGAAGAAAAATGAGAGCACAATGATTAGATGGTGGGGTAGACATGAATCTTTGGGGGCCAGGGACAGAAGGCTATAGTTTGGGTCTGGAATGCCCCCAAAAGACCCATGTGTTAAAAGGCTCGGTCCGCAGCTTGGTACTAGTGGAAGTGGTAGGAACTTTAAGAGGTGGGGCCTAGTAAGAGGTCATTGGTATGTTCCTGAAAGAGACTATGGGATCCCAGTCTCTTCCTCTTTCACTTCTCGACCATGAGGAGAGCAGCTATGCTTCAAGAAGCTCTTTTGCTATGATGTGTAGTCTCGCCAGATATATAAAGCAGCAGGACCAACTGATCATGGAATGAAACCTCTAAAATTGTGAGCCAAACAAACCTCTTATCTTTATAAGTTGATCATCTGAAGCATTTGTTACAGTGATGTAAACTGACTAACACAGATGGTACCAATGAAAATAAGTGAATGGACATGAAAGACATTTGTAAGAACTACTGAGTTAGTTTAATTACCGAAAAAATCAATAATTATTCCAAGACTTTTGATCTAGGAGAGTAGAATGGAAGGAACACCAGCAGAAATGAAGAGGAGAGGGCCAGTGCTGGAATGAAGCAGATGGTTTTCAAAACACACAGAAACTATTTTTAAAACTTGTTACAACATTATAACTCAATAGAAGTATACCTTATTATATTAATTTAAAAGACTTAATAGTTATTAATCATTTATCCTATATTTCTTCTCAACTATCCATAATGAGAAGTTAACAAACATTCAACTTTTACTACACATCTAGAATGAGTAGGCACCATGGTAAAGCTCCAGACACATCAAGCAAAAAAAGTATAAAGGGCTGAGATTTAAGTTCATAGTACAATCAAAGAAGAATTTTATGTGATTAAAAAAACCATATCATACATCTTCTATTCTTTAATCACCTTTAATTGATAGATACAAGTAAAGTTTGTTTTGATGCTGCCTCTCAAAGGAGAAGGATATGTTCCATGGATTCCTTTTCATCTTATCCAAAACTCTAAAATGTAGGTAACATTAGAAGTTAGAGTCAAATGCCAGGCACAGTGGTACACGCCTATAATCCCAGTGGCTGAGGAGGCTAAGGCAGGAGGCAGGAGGCAGGAGGCTGAGGCTGAGGCAAGTTCAAGGCCAGCCTCAGAAATTTAGTGAGGCCCTAAGCAACTTAGTGAGACCTTGTCTCAAAATAAAAAAAATAAAAGGGCTAGGGATGTAGCTTAGTGGTAAATTGTCCTTGGGTTAAATCATCAGTACCAAAAAAAAAAAAAGGAAGTTAGCGGCAAACTATTAACTTCTGTGGACTGATCCTAAAACATAACATACTACCCCCTATAAGCAGTCAGTATGCAATCCATAATATTATTACTTTAAAGAAACCACAGAATCTGATTTGAAATCATCCTTGAGATTTAGTGTATATTCAAATCTGATGAAAAAAATCCCATCTACAATATCCCTTATAGTGAAATGTTCAACCACTCTTTGCTTCAGTGTATTCAATGACAGAAAACACTATGTTCAAAGCCAACTCTTTGATTGTTAGGATAGCTTTGTGAATTCTTCCTAATAATGAGCCAAAATCTGCCTCCCATTTGTCCTGGTTTGACCCTTTTCTACACAACATTTCTTTAAATATTTAAACACCATTGTTTACTAAAACCTCTCTGCTAAACCAAACAGCTTCAATCCTGATAAAGCATCATATAAAATGCTGATTCTCTTTTTATCTTCATCATCTTGTGTAATAATCTTTGGTTTTTTGATTGTTACCCTTAAAGCATGTCATCAAGAGCAAAAAACAACACAAATAAAAATATGTATAATAGTACAATGGAGCCTTTCACCCCTCATACAGCCAAAGATCACATTAAATGAAATGCAACACAACCAAGTATCTAGACCTAGTGAAATCCTAAAGAAGTTTCTATGATAGGGATATATTCTATATCTGTACTGTCCAGTAGGGTATCTACTACCTTCTTGGGCCTTCTGAGCTCTTGAAATGTGGCTGGTATTTCTGAAGAACAGAATCTTTTATTTCATTTAGTTTTAGTTAAGTTAAATTTAAGTAGCACATTTTCTAGATTCTAAATGAGATTTCATGACTTCATGGGACTGGGGTTATAGTAAGAAGTGAAGCACTTGCCTAGTATGTCTGAGACCCTAGGTCAAATCTCAGCACCACTAAACAAACAAAGCAAGCTCCAATTTCTTAGGATTTTACTAGCTGGTTATATTTATCCCAGGTGCACACAAAAGTGTCATTTTCTTGTCTCCAATTCCCCAGATAAAAGTCTAGCACGTGCTATGTCTTCTGTATGGAAAGCTTGTCTCTTAGCTCTACCTGTATGCCTTGTCCCTTTCCCTCCACCAAATCTTTGCTCAAATGACACTTTAATGAGAATTCTCTCCCCTACAACTATAAACCCACTATCCCATAATCTCCATCCTTCCCTATGTTGCCAATTATGATGCATTATATGACACACTATACATTTTACTTGGCTGCTCCTACTGTAAGTAGATACAAAAGCAAGTGAGTGTTTGTTTGTTCACTGCTATATCCCCACAGTGCCTAGAATATAAAAGGTACTTAGCTGGGTGTGGTGGTACCTGATTCTCAGGAGGCTGAGACAAGAGGATAGCTTAAACCCAGGGGTCAGAGGCAAGCCTGGAAACATTGTGAGACCCCAATTTAAAAAAAAAGAAAGAGGGCACTCAAATAGTACTTGACTGATATGCAAAACGACACAATCAAGGATGCATAAGAAACAAGTAAAAACAATTGATGCATTAGGGTAGTAGATAATTTTTTTTACAAATATCAACAGGTAAAAAATTAGCATTTAGTGCCCGGTATGCTGGTGCACACCTGTAATCCCAGCTGCTCAGGAGGTTGAGACAGGAGGATCACCAATTCAAAGCCAGCCTCAGCAACGCAGTGAGACCCTGTCTCTAAATAAAATACAAAAATAGGGCTGGGGATGTGGCTCAGTGGCTGAGTACCCCTGAGTTCAATCCCTAGTACAAAAAAAAAAAAAAAAAAAGCATTTGAAACAATTGTTTGCATTGCTTTAAAGTGCCCAGTATAGTATTTAAAATCTATTAGGTTCAGCCAGGTATGGTGGCTTATATCTATAATACAACTCTGTAATCCTAGCAACTTGGGAGGCTGAGGCAGGAGGATTGCAAATTCAAAGCCAGCCTCAGTAATTTAGAGAGACCTTGTCTCAAAAAGAAAAAAAATCTATTAGTTAAGAGTTAACTTTCTATAAAACTTCTGATTTAGATGTCCACCTCATGTACTCTTGAAGTTACCTCAATAAAACTAGGGGAAAAAACCTCTAATATAAGTATTCAACAGTCATATTTCCTGGGTTAAGCAGGCTCACAGTTGTTATAAATTAAGCTAATTTGTTTCATGAGCACATTTTATCAATCTACAATCCATAAAAAAACTATGTTACATTTTTATAGACCTGAACTGTCCAACATGATAACTACTGGCTACATATAGTTACTGCAGTTAATTAAATAAGATATAAGTCCATTTGTCAGTTGTTCTAACCACATTTCAAATGCTTAGGGCCATGAGTAGCTAGAAGTTACCATCCTGGACCTCATAAATACAGAACACCACAGAGAATTCTATAGGGTAGAACTGCTATAAAATTTTTCTAAAACTTCACTTTAATGCATAAAACTGATTTAGCTGAGATATTGGCAGAATACAACCTTGTAATTTCCAGTTCTATAGTCTATATCTATGGTTCTCAAAACATGATCCCAGTACCAACCCCACTTAGGAATTTTTTAGAAATATCAACTCTCAAGCCCTAGCCATCTATTTTACCAAGCTCCCCAGGTGATCCTGGAGAATTCTAAATCATGTTCAAGTTTTAGAGTCATTGTTCTAACAGAAAATAAGCCATTGGATGACAAGAAATCTACTGCTATAGACTATAAATGATCTATCAACTATGAAATCAGATACAATCATATCCCTATGAGGCCTTCTTTTTTGGGGGAGGAGTGCCAGAGACTGAATTCAGGGGCACTAGAACATTCAGCCACATCCCCAGCCCTATTTTGCATTTTAATTAGAGTCAGGGTCTCACTGAGTTGCTTAGTGCTTGCTTTTGCTAAGACTGGCTTTGCATTAGCGATCCTCCTGCCTCAGCCTTTGGAGTTGCTGGGGTTACAGGCATGCACCACTGCACCCAGCTATTATGATGTCTTCTAATACAAAAACAAACAAACAAACAAACAAACCAAAAAACTCAGTATACACTTTAATAAGTTATAATATTACATTTGAATAAATTGTGAACTTGATATCTTTTAAAAAAACATTAAAACTTTAAACCACAGCATAATCACATTTCCATCTTTTCCTAAGGTTACAATTAAATGCTTTTAATTTAGAGAATAAGAGCCTAGCTCAGTGACAGAACACTTGCCTAACATGCACAAGGCCCCAACTTCAATCCTCTGTATGGAAGGGGGGAAAAAAAAACACTTTAATTTAGAAAAAATACACATAGGGGAAACATGAAGAAGGAAATATTTTCAAATTGTAATTTTCACATGGGCAAATATTACTTTTGTAATAAACTAATAAATAAAAATCGATTAACAAGAATTACCTCAGCAAGAAGTTAAAACTAGGGGCTGGGGATAAAGCTCAGTTGGTAGAATGCTTGCCTAGCATGCACAGGCCCTGGGTCCAATCCCTGGCACCACCAAAAACAAACAAAAAAGAAGTTAAAACTAAAGTTGCATAATTGTTACAAAAGAAACTAAACAATTTAAATACTCCTAATTTCCTCTTACCAGTCATAGATTTAGCAGAAAACTATTATTTGCAATATCGACATCCAAGTATGTTAAATATTCCTTATTTAATTTTCTGACAGAAAAACATCCTTAGAAGTTTCAGCTAAGAACAGTATGTAATACATTAAAATGAAATCACTGGGAAAAGATCTCATCTTGGTTTACCACAAATTTGTCTCAAAAAGGAGAGACTTTAAGTGCCCAGTAGATGACAAATTTCTGCTACAGCCAAGTGTTTACTTTGATACCGTAGTGGTGGAAAACTACTTAGTCACAATTCATGTACAGAATTTTGTGTAGTGTAAAAGCAACAGAAATGTTTACAACATTGAAAATATTTACAACATATTGAACTTAAGTGTAATGAGAAGCTAAATCATACTTCATACTATTGCCTGAGTACATAAACATCAGCTTCCAAATATCCTTCCATAAAGTGAATGGTGGCAATGGTTAACAAAAATTTGACATCTATTTAAAAAATTTTTGTGGTACTGGGAATCAAACTCAGGGGAGTTCTACTACAGCCAGTCCTTTAAAATATAAACATAAATATAAATATATATATATATTTTTTTTAATTTTGAAATAGTATCTTGCTAAGTTGCTGAGGCTGTAGTGATCTTCCTGCCTAAATCTCGCCAGTCCCTGGGATTACAGGTGAGTGCCACTGCACCCATCTAAATTTTGACATCTAAACACTCTTTATTACTCTAATACTAAGGACACAATTTCAACATTCTAAGTATTGTTTTTTAAAAGTCAAATAATTAATATATTAAGTACCAACCAGTCTTATTTCTGTCATTCACTTCTGCATGCCTAGTATAGATTGAGGCTTATAGCAACACTTGGGGTTTGGGGGGGGGAGAATGAATACTTTCTTTGCAGATACAATTTTTTTCCCCTAATGATTTCAGCCCTCAAGGGAATTACAAATGGAATTGAGAGACAAGACAAATTCTTGAAAAGCTGAAAAACAGGACAATTAAAACTGCCACCTGGCAAGATATGTTTATTTGCAAAGTTAGTGGCAGAAAGAGCTGTAAATTCTGACCATAATGAGATTAGTATGGACTGCAGTCCTTCCGGTCACCCTTCCAGAATATGATAGTGAGCTGGGCGCTGCGGAGGCTGCATGCCTGTAATCCTAGAGACCAGGAAGGCTGAGGCAGGAGGAACTCCAGTGCAAAGCCAGTCTCAGCAACTTAGAGGAGGACCCGGTCTTAAAATAAAAAATAAAAAAGGACTGGAGATGTGGCTCAGTGATGAACCGTCCCGGATTCAATTCCTAGTGTAACAAAAATGAAAAAAAAAAAAAAAAAACAACTATAGAGTATCCGGGTGCAATGACCCATGCCCCACCACCAGCCGGCCCCTGCTTGGTCTCTCCAGTGACTTGAGAGACTGCAGCAGGAGAATCGCGAGTTCCAGACTAGCCTCTGCAACTTATTAAGGCCCTAAACTACTTAGTGAGATGGAGAAAAATATTAAAAATAAAGAATGTGACACAACACTCACCCCGCCCTAAAATTATCATCAGGTAAAGAATGAAAGACAGAAGGAAACTTTCATACAAGGTTTTTTAAACCTATGGTAGAAAAAAAAAAACACATTCCACAGGCACAACCGTTTCCTGGATTCAGGACTTATAAAGGTGCCAGAAATACAAGTCTCTTAGGAACAGTGTCCCCTCATCCTCTCTTCTTTCGCCCCTCACGGAGCTTTCCAGTGGACAGCCGCCCGAGAAATTTCTCCGAGTATCCGCAATGGCAATACTCTCATCTTCCTCTCCCTCCCCTCGCCGGTATCAGACGGTGGCATCTCCCTCCAAAGGAAAAAGCCGAGGGCGGGGGAGGCAGAATAAGAGAAAGCTTGAGGGCGATCAAAGAGGAGGAAGGTGAGAAAAAGCGGGGGGGCGAGGGTGCAGAATCCTCGGTCCCAGCCCGCCCAGCCCCTAGGAACCCAGGCCCACACCTCCCCACCCCCAAGTCACGCCCCTCGCCTGCCCGACCGCGGGCTCCAGTGACAGCCCCACCAGCTGCGCCGCACCCTGGCCCCGCTGGGAGACGACTGCCCCTGCCCCACCACCAGCCAGCCCCAGTTTGATCTCTCCCCTTCCCGTCCACGTCGCCGACGAGTGACAGGTCCCGGGGGAGGCGATCGCAAGCGCACGCCGTTCCGGAATACCGGTGCAACCAAGCACCGAAGCCCTCCAACAGGCGCGGGGGTGAAGACAGAACGTTCCGGACGGCTCGGGGGACCCAGTCCAGGCCCAGGCTACCCAAGCTGGCCCACACCGGGCGGGGGTGGCACTTACTGCGGAGATTGTGGATAAGCTCCGAGTGGCTGGCGCCGCCGGATTTCCAGGCCATCGCTAAGCACACCCGGAGCAGGTACAGAACCACCTTCAGCGCGGCGACGGTGCCCAGCAGCTTTCCCAAGAGTGAGACCACCTCCCACACGGTCACCGCCCCGGTCCCGTCCTCGCTGTTGCCGCCGATATTACTGCCGTCGCCGTCGCTGCCGCCACTGCGCGCTCCCGGCATCCCCCGCGGCACGCATGCGCTCTGTGACGCCGCGCGCCCTCGGGTGCGGCCGGGTGGGGCCGGAGGCGGGGGAGGCCCGTTGCCCTGCGGCGCTTGCGGGTGGCTGCTGCTGCTGCTGGGCGACCCCGGGGAGGTTGTGCTGAGTCAGCACCACCGCCGCCGCGTGCCCTTGCTGACTTCGCCCTGCGGCCGGGCCGATGGTCCCCAGAGCTGTGGGTCGCGTTCCTGCCTGTGGCTCCTGTCACCATGTGCGGCGGCGGGCTAGCAGGGCCGATCTGTACCGCGACTGCAGGTGGCTCCGCCGTCGCCGCCGGGTCAGCTGTTGCAAGCGGCCAGTCTGCTCCTATAGCTGTCCAGATTGTTAGACGGTGGGCTTCCTCCGTCCTGTCTCACCCAACCTTGTTGACTCATATTTAGGTCGGTTGGAGTCCAGGCTCCCAAGGATGGAGCCGAAAAAATAATCTTAATGGAGCCCAAGGGCAAAGCCCCTCTCATCGTGTACACCAGCCTCTAGCTTAGTGACAAGCACGTCACTGTTTGGCTAAACAGAGACTTTAGGACCCCGATTTGTTCTTCACTCTAAAGCGCAAATACAGAGTGTAAGAATGCCATCACATGGGGGGGAGAGTGGGGGAGAATGCGCCTTTAGAACAAAACAAACGTGAAGAGATATAATTGGTTAAAAAAAAATACCTCGGTATCCTGTGGTGAATGTGTTGTTCTCCCAATGCAAGTGTGACTTTTCAGCTAATTAAGCCTTACAAATTCCACTCTTAGATTGGGCACCAACTTTTATTGCTATCAGTTCTGCAGGACTATGAGTGAAAAGCTGACAGGGAACATTGCCTGTCGCATCCATATTGCTGAGTCCTAATTATCACTGATACTAACAGAATAGAGCCATCCATTATTCCAGTACACTTTTAAGAAAGAAATGGCTAAGTCCAGACATCTATACTACCATGGGGACAGCAACTTCCCAATTCTCTTTTGTATCAGATTTTGTCACATGTGACACTCAACTTGTTCCCAATTAAAAATATATATTATTATTTTATAGAATTCTGTGATCATAAATGAAACTTAGTTGCTGATTAAACCCTCCAGACTTCACCTGCTTTTAGTCACTTGCTCTTCTACACTAAACCTGGTTCACCAGCTCTTCATTACTTGCTTTTAGTTGAATACAGATAACATCTGTGATGGGTGGCCAAAACTGGAAATGGATGAAGTTTGACCCAATCACCTTCCCCCATCTCAACCTATAAATAACTCCAATCCAGGAGGCTTTTCCACCTCCTGGAACTTACCTAAGGAGTAAATCCCCTTTTACAAAACTCATCATGTTGATGATTTGGCATACTGCATGGCAGACAAAATGAACCTGGTTCAGTAATTTGAGTTCTTAGTAGGAACTTGATAATGCTTTCCAGAACTGATATAGATGGAATACATTTACATGCAGTGCTTCCATACACTACCAATATCAAAATCAGGGCTGGATGTTGGGGCTCACACCCGTAATCCCAGCAATTCAGGTGGCTGAGGCAGGAGGATCTCAAGTTCAAAGCCAGCCACAGCAATTTAGCAATGCCCTAAGCAACTTGATGAGACTGTGTCTCAAAATTTTGAAAGGGGGGTGGGGATGTGGTTCAGTGGTTAAGTGCTCCTGGGTTCAATCCCTGGTACCAAAATAAATAAATGAATAAATAAAATAAAACCAAGATCTCGGTGTAGTGATGCTTGTCTGTCATTCCAGATGTTGGGAGGCTGAGGCAGTACCTGTCTCAAAAAAAAAAAAAGGGTAGAGATGTAGTTTGGTGGTAGATGATTCCTAGATTCAACCCCCAGTAATGCAACAAGTTGGGAGCAGGATGAAGGTGGGGAAGCAACCAACATGCGGTTGTAAGTATATATAGTATAAGAAAATTTGCAATATGAATAAGTCTCTGGGCATGGTGGCACAGGCCATCCCAGTGACTCAGGAAGCTGAGGCAAAAGAGTTGAAAATTCAAAGCCAACCTCAACAACTTAGCAAGGCCCTAAGCAACTTAGCAAGACTCTACCTTAAAAAAAAAAAAAAAAGGCCAGGAATGTAGTTCAGGACTAAAGTGCCTTTAGGTTCAATCCTTAGTGCAAAAATAACATGACTAAGTCAGTAGGATTTACATTCTGGTTGGGCTGGGGGTGGGGTCTACATCAAAAGAAATCTAACAGGGCAGAATATAAGTGCCATTAATGGTCTAGATAGCAAGTGCAAGCACTGTGTTTATCTATATCGTCATTGGCTGGTATCATCATGAAAAAGGAATAAGGAAGGAACCTATCCTTGCAGAATGGGCAGGATTCTGAGAAGTAGAGAGGGATGGAAGGCTATTACAGACATTACCAATAGCACAGAAGGAATCAAAAGCACAGGTTCCTGGACTGTTGGACAGTAGATATCGCCAAACAATACATAACTAAATTGAGCAAAGTTAGGCAGGAAGGAAATGAGTGTCAAACTAAAATTAGAGTCTTCAGAATTCCAACTCTAGGCTCTGACATTATGTGTATTAATTTTGAAGCAAAGAATCTGGGAGAAAAAGAGGAAGATAATACGATTAAATGTTAGTCGAGGTACTTCTATGAGAACTTAAGGATTTTGAATTGTTTTCTATATGCAGCGATGTGCAACTGAATGCTTAGTTGTGATACAAGGTGATTTCTCTGCATTGTTTTTATTTTAGCTCTTTGTTACATACTTTGCAATTATTGCAAAAGTACATTGTCTCAATGTTCCTATATTGATTTTGCAGGTTTTGTGCTGGTCTTACTGCACAAGGGCGTAGGTCCGTTCACCTTTGTTTAAAGCCACTTCTGTGAAGGGTTCCTTCAGTTCAGATGCTAGCTACGCTCACAGAAGGTTCCGGTAAAGATTGGCTCTCTGCAGCCACCGTCTCCCTCTGAGATCTCATCCAATCAGGCTCCGTGGAAGGGGCGGGGCTGGAAGGCGCGCGTTGTGCTTCTTGCACTGTTTGCCGTGGTCGCCTTCAGCATGGAGGAAATTTATGCCAAGTTTGTGTCTCAGAAAATCAGCAAAACCCGCTGGCGACCAGTGCCCCCGGGAAGCCTGCAGACCGCAGAGACCTTCGCTACCGGTTCTTGGGACAATGAGGTGCCGCTGTTCCCGGGAAGCGGAGCCCGTACCTTCTTTCTTTTCCTCTTGGGTGTCCTGGGCCGGCCGAGCGCGAACTCTCACCTTCTAGCTCCTCTCGCCCTTCTCTGTCCCCTGAACCCTCGTCGCGGTTCTGTTGCCTGTAGTTCACAGCCATTAATGGTTGAGCTTCGTATCTCCTTGTGTTTTTAAATTCTTACCATACCATTCGTGTGAGGTTCTTCTGAGTCAAGATTGGCTGAAAGTAATACGGATTTTACTTTCCTCTAGTTGACGTTTACGCTATCTTTGCAGGAAAATTATGTTTCATTGTGGTCTATTGGAGATTTTGGAAATTTGGACTCTGATGGAGGATTTGAAGGAGACCATCAATTATTGTGTGATATCAAACACCATGGTGATGTCATGGATTTACAGGTAAATCTGTATTGTACCCAAAAGATAACTTTAAAAACTGAAAATAATATATCTAGAGATGCATGGGATCTTAAAATTTTGTCTAGTCACACTCCTAGTAAATATGATTTGTCAGCACATTTAGCCACTTGGTGGCAGGATCAGAACTGGGAAAGAGATTGTAGATTTAATCCTAGTTTTTAAAAATTAATCTATGCACCAAGGAATGTTTTGGAGCTTTATATAAGTTAACATAATTTTCATTGCATTTCCACATATCAAGCATTGGTTTATGTTTTGTGTGTTTGTTGCAGTAAGGTGCTTGGGATTGAACCTAGGCTCTTGCACATGTTAGGCAAGTGCTCTACCAGTTAGCTATATCCCCATCCCTCAGGTATTGTTATTTCTGCTTTTTTTTTCTTTGCCCCCCCCCCTTTTTTTTTTTAGGTACCAGGGATGGAACCCAGGGGTGCTTTACCACTAAGCCACATCCCCCTTTTTTTATATTTTATTTAGAGACAGGGAGGGTCATGCCTAGTTGCCTAAGTCCTCAAAAATTTACTGAGGCTGTCTCTCTCTGAGAAGTAGAGAGGGATGGAAGGCTATTACAGACAATACCAATAGCACAGAAGGAACCAAAAGCACAGGTTCCTGGACTGTTGGACAGTAGATATCGCCAAACAATACGTAAGTAATATCCTCCTGCCTTAGTGTCCCAAGCAATTGGGATTGCAGGCCTGTGTCACCATGTCTAGCTTGTTATTTCTCTTTATCAATAAAAAAGCTGAGACTACAATCTTTGAAGCATATATTATGTGGCAAATAATGTGCAGGAACGTTCATATGGAATTGACTTGAATTATTATTATTTTTTAAATTTTTAATATTTATTTTTAAGTTTTTAGGGGACACAACATCTTTGTTTATATGTGGTGCTGAGGATCGAACCCAGGCCGCATGCATGCCAGGCGAGCGCACTACCGCTTGAGCCACGTCCCCAGCCCTGACTTTTGAATTATTAGTACTCCTGTGTTTTTTGTTTGTTTGTTGGTTGGTTGGTTGGTGTGGATATAGGGGATTGACCTCAGGGTCACTGAACCACTGAGCCACATCCCCAGTCCTATTTTTTATTTTATTTAGAGACAGGATCTCAGTGATTTGCTTAGTGCTTCACTTTTGCTGAGGCTGGCTTTGAACTCTGTATCCTCCTGTCTCAGCCTCCAGAGGTGCCACTGGGATTACAGGCGTACACCACTGCACCTGGCAGTACTCCTGTTTTAAAGTGTTAGGAAGACTTAGAGAACTTAAATTCATTCTCTCTTTCTCTCTCTCTCTCTCTCTGTGTGTGTGTGTGTGTGTGTGTGTGTGTGTGTGTGTGTGTGTGTTTGCTGGGCATCAGAATCAAGGCCTCCTGCATGTCAGACAAGAGCTCTACCACTGAGCCACATCCCTAACCTGTGAACTTGAGTTCCCTAAAAAGTATCTCAAAACCCATAGTAATTGGAGTTTTTTTTTTTTTTTTTAAAGAGAGAGTGAGAGAGGGGAGAGAGGGAGAGAGAGAGAGAGAGAATTTTTAATATTTTTCAGTTCTCGGCGGACACAACATCTTTGGTATGTGGTGCTGAGGATCGAACCCGGGTCGCACGCATACCAGGCGAGCGCACTACCACTTGAGCCACACACATCCCCAGCCCCAGTAATTGGAGTTTGAAATTAAGTTTTCAAAGTTGGATGTGGTGGTAGATGTTTGAATCCCAGCTACTTGGAAGGCTGAAGCAGGAGGAGTGCTTGAGCCCAGAAGGTTGAGATCAGTCTGGCAATACAGAGACACTGTCTCAAAAAAAAGAAAAAAAGAGAGAGAGTTTTCAAATCCGGTTCTTCATTACTTCATTTCTTTTATTTACTCTATAGAAACAGTACTAACCTTAGGAATGATACTTTTCTAAAGTTGCATTGCTGTGGTCCAAAATTGCATATATTTTAGGTGAGTGAGCTTAAGAAAAAATTATTACTCTTTTTTTGTAGTGAGGATTGAACCCAGGGGTGCTTTATCACTGAGTGACATCCCTAGCTTTTTTGTTTTGTTTTGTTTAATTATTTTTTATTTTGAGGCAGTGTCTCACTACATTGCTGAGACTGGCCTTGAACTCAAGATCCTTCTGCCTCGGCCTTTCCAGTCACTGGGATTACAGGCATGTGCTACTGCTTCTGGCTATTATTATTTATTCTTTGTGAAAATATTTTTACATACATAGCAGTATTGACTGTTAGATTTATTAACATATTTCATTTGCTTAGAATTCATAGGCTCTTTGCTTATGGTAGAGTCTGTTACTAATTGAGTTGAATAATAGGCTTTCTCCCTACTACTGTTTCTGGATTTATAACAAGCTGGAACTTTTTGTTTAGTTTTTTGACCAGGAAAGAATTGTAGCTGCTTCATCAACAGGATGTGTAACAGTTTTTCTCCATCATCCAAATAACCAGGTAAAGAACTTTTATTTGAAAAAAAAGTTTGTATTTTAGTTATTTTTAAGAAGGCTTAAACAAGATTGAGTTTAATAATAACAGAAATAAAACATTGTTAAAACGTGAAGGGAGCTGCGTGTAGTGACATGTGTCTGTATCTAGCTACTCAGGAGAGAGTTGGAGACTACCCTTGGCAATGAAGTAGTAAATGTAAGACCCAGTTAAGTATTTTTTGAATGGAGTCAAAACTGCTATATAAGTAAAAGTATTTTCACAAAGAATAAATAATAGCAGCCAGAAGCAGTAGTACGTGCCTGTTAAGTGTTTCTTTTTTTTTTTTTTTAATATTTTTTAGTTAGAGACGGACACAGTATCTTTGTATATTCATTTTTATGTGGTGCTGAGGATCAAACCTAGTGCCTCACATGTGTGAGGCAACCACTCTACCATTAAGCCACAACCCCAGCCCCAGTATTTCTTAATGAAGTCATTTTTTTAAAGTTGAAGAGATTTATTTAAGAATAAAATTCAGGGGCTCTTAAATAGAAGATCATTCCCAAAAGAATTTAATGAGTAAACAGGGCACAATGTTATATGCCTATAATCACAGCTACTCAGGAAACTTAGCAAGACCCTGTCTCAAAGTAAAAAACAAAAAGATCTCAGGATGTAACTTAGTGGGCAACTTAGTAAGACCCTGACTCAAAGTGCTTATCTACCCTGTATAAGATCCTGAGTTTAGTACTCAATACCAAGGGGAAAAAAGAAGAATTTAAATAGCTGCTTTTGAACATTGAACTGCTTGATATCTAAAAATGATTACTTTGCTTTAAGATGAATATGTCACATTATTGGACAACATTTTTTGTGAGTCTAATTCATTGTGTACGGAGCTTCTAGTAGTTTTTAAACATTACTAATCTAAAGTACAAATGAAAAAAAGAGTTATTCTTTTTCTAGAAAAGTCAAGATAGAATTTTAAAATACTCTTAAGGAAAAATGCTTGCTCTTTGATTAAAAAGTATCCTCATTTCTAATACTTAGACTCTGTCAGTCAACCAGCAGTGGACAGCAGCCCACTACCACACGGGGCCTGGCAGTCCTTCTTATAGCAGTGCCCCATGTACAGGCATTGTGTGTGACAACCCAGAAATTGTCACAGTTGGAGAGGATGGTCGAATAAATCTCTTCAGGGTTGATCACAAGGAAGCTGTAAGAACAATAGGTAAGAAAAATCATTATATTTATTTTTTCTATCATATAGTAATTGAACACTAAAAATGCAGAGTAAGTACAGGGTGAAGTGTTTGAGGAGTATTAAAAACATACAGGCAGAATCCCTTGGTCAAAGGCAGCATATCCATGAGGACAGAGTGAGTGACTGACTACAGAGGAGAAAGAGATGGATTCTTTTGTTATTTTTGGGGACCAGCTAGAAGGGATTCTTTATTAGATAAAGAATCAGGAAGGAGATGACAACTTAATCTAGGTTGTAGATGATAAGTAATACTAAAAAATGACCATACCAGACATTGGCAACAGCATGGAGACAGGGTGAAGCTATACAGGAAATGACAAAAAAAAAGTTTGTCCTGACATTAGTATTTTATAGGAAAGATTGAAAGATGAAATCCAAAAGGTAAATTGGGACCAGTTTGCAAAGAATCTTGAATGCAGAACCATTTTGGTGGTGAAAAATTAAGGTGCCATTGTAAGTTTTTGTGCAATGGAGCGATATTCTCTGTGTCATGCTTTAGAATGATTAGTCTAGTGTAGCATTTCTAAACTATGCTTCACACAGACTTGTCTGCTGAGATTTCTAATAGTCCATTGCCCTAGATCTTTTGGACCAGAATCTCTAGGGATTGAGCCAGGAATCAGTTTTCTGTGTTGTTTATTATGATTTTTAGTTTTGAGTTATATCGTTTGCTGCTAGTTAAGGACTGTTGCCTGATGGCAGTGTGAAGGAGTGGCATAAAATAAGACTCAAAGAAAGTATACATTAAGTTATGTTCTATAAATTCTAAACCCTCCAGGACACTTAAGAAAAGGACCTTTATAACAACGAGGAAGGACTTTGTGGCGAAAGAGGAAGCTGATGAGGGTGAATAGATTTGAGATGTGTCAGCAGTATAATACAAGGTCAGAGTAGCTCTGTTGGATCAGTGGGTTTTGGAGCCATAGAGCTTTGCATCAAGGACTAGTGGGAAATAAGACTGAATATAGAGGAGCTTGAACATTTATCTCAGAAATGCATGGTAACAATTTTTTTGAGGTGGGGAGTTGGTACCAGACTTTTTTTATTTAAAGGAATGGTAAAATTAAAGAACATAAGTCGATATTTTGTTACAACTTAAAGAAAAAAGGTGAAGGTAACCCCAATGTGCATGCACTGCCTTGACAACTGGAGAAGTCACTTCCACGGCTATGGGGAAGTCAGCCTAAGGTTGAGCTTTCGTTATCACTATCTTCAGGGTAACAGTCTTGAGGGGAAATAGAAAAAGGAGTACCTGAAAACTCAGCTCTCCATTTAGAAAACAATTCAGATGTCCCATGCGTGATATTTTTCTCTCTGAGGAGAATTTGCCTGAATACGTACACTACTGTGCATTTTTCCATAGAAGTCAAATTGTGAATGATTGGAAACTTCATTTGTAATATTTTGATAAATAGATGCAATGCAATTTAAGATTTTCATGAAAAAAGGGATCTATTAAACACACTGCCATTTTATAAATTTGTAGACAATGCAGATAGCAGTACACTCCATGCTGTAACCTTCCTTCGAACTCCTGAGATACTTACAGTTAATTCAATTGGACAGTTAAAAATATGGGACTTCAGACAACAAGGAAATGAACCTTCTCAGATATTATCATTGTAAGTTTTGATTTGTTATTTCAGTAATGCAATGCAAAATCAATTTGTCCAATTGGTTATGACAGCTGTCTTTAAAAACCCTTTTTTTCCTTCAGTACTACGATTGAACCCAGGAGAGCACTACCACTAAGCTACATCCTCTTCGCTTTCTATTTATTTATTTTTAATTGGTGCTTTATAGATATACATAGAGGTGAAATTCATTGTGGTTTATTTATATATTCACATTGTATAGTTTTGTCCTGTTCACTCCATGTTTCCTCCCCTTTTCTGTTCCTTTCCTTCTAACCCATTGATCTTTCCTGAATCCTTATATCTGAGCCATTACCCCTTTTTCCCCCTTACTTTGATCTAGCTTCCACATATGAGAGAAAATATTCAACCCTTTATTTTCTGAGTCTGCCTTAATTCACTTAGTGTAGTGTTCTCCATTGCATTTGAGGTAGTGATTCCTAATTAAATTTGACAAAGAAAGAATTATGTGGTGGACTTGACACTCTCATGCTTTATTTAGTAAATATTTGCTGAATTGATTCAGAGTCTTCATCTTTTTGAAGTTTTTATTATTATTATTATTATTATTTTAAGAATTTTTTAATTTTTTTTTTTTTTAGTTTTCGGTGAACACAACATCTTTGTTTTTGTATGTGGTGCTGAGAATCAAACCCGGGCCGCACGCATGCCAGGCGAGCGCCCTACCACTTGAGCCACACCCCCAGCCCTGAAGTTTTTATTATTTAATGGAGAACTTATTTCTGTTTATCAAATGATTTTATCAATAAAGGATAAAATACACTCAAGATGTTATAGGTGGAAAATATAATCCAAAACATTTTTCTGAGCAGAAATTCCCATTTCTAGGTGTGTAACATTCACTTCTCTCTTAAGAAAATGGAGTCTGTCAGACTGAATAAAAGTTATTTAAAATAAGCATTAAATAAAATAGGAATAAGGAATATTTGAGTATAGTTGATAGATATTTTCTTAAAACCCTAAAAATGGAAATGGGTTTTGTCCATTTTACCATCAGATTATCTTGTTTCTCCATTTCCACATTGAAGAGAGAATGAATACTTTTGGCCTATAATTGTAAATTGAAATGTAAAATTACATATTTTAAAATTACATATAAATGTAAGAATGAGCTTTTTTAACATTTATAAATACATTTAATCTCTTTACTTTTTTGGCATTATTATTTTTTGGTTTTGTGGTACTGGGGGTTGAACTTAGGGTCTATGTATGCTAGGCAAGTACTCTACCACTAGCTGTATCCCCAGTCTTAGCAGTGGGATTGAACCCAGGGGTGTTTTACCACTGAGCCACATGACCTGCCATTTTTACCTTTTAATTTTGAGTCAGGATCTCACTAAATTTCTAAGGCTGGCATCAAACTTGTGATTCCCTACATCAAGATTCCCTACGTCAGCCTCCCAAGTCTCTGGCAAGTAGGCACCACCATACCCAGCTTGGCATCATTAAGCCACTTAACTAGCATAGTATTGTAGTTATTAGAATAAAATGTTTGTTGGGTTACACAGAATTGTACTTTACCTTGTATTTGATATATTTGTATTTCCCACAAAAGGACTGGTGATCGAGTGCCACTTCACTGTGTTGACAGACATCCCAACCAGCAGCATGTTGTAGCTACTGGTGGCCAGGATGGAATGCTGAGTATTTGGGATGTTAGACAAGGTACTATGCCTGTATCTCTGCTGAAGGCTCATGAGGCTGAAAGTAAGTATTATGGAGATATCGAAAGTATTTATTATATGAGTTATATGACATAAGCACCTTGGCATAATGGTACACATAGATCATTTTATGTCATAGGTTTTAATGTCTGAATTGTAAAACTTTAATACCTTTATATTTTGACATGTAAGCTATGTGAATGTTAGTGGGTGGGGATTACTGGGGATTGGACCTGAGGCCTTATACATAGTGGTATTATACATAGTGGTAGGTAAGGACTCTACCACTGAGCCTCATCCCCAGCCCGAGGCATATTTAAGCTCCAAAACCATAGGAAATATCTTTAGGTATTTATCTATGCATTTCTTTCTTTCTTTTTTTTTAAATATTTGTTTAGTTGTAGATGAACACACAGTATATTTATTTTTATGTGGTGCTGTGGATTGAACCCAGTGCCTCACACATGCGAGACAAGCACTTTCCCACTGAGCTACAGCCCCAGCCCTATGCATTTCTTTTTCTTTCTTTTTTTTAAATTATTTTTTAGTTGTAGATGGACATAATATCTTTATTTTATCCATTTATGTTTTTTATATGGTGCTGAGATTCCAATGCAGTGCCTCAGGCATGCAAGGCCAGTGCCCAACCGCTGAGCCACAACCCCAGCATATGCATTTATTTTCTTAGGATAATTTTTTTTTTAACATTTATTTTTCAGTTACAGGTAGACACAGTATCTTTTTTATTTTTATGTGGTGCTGAGGATCAAACCCAGTGCCTCACACTTGCTAAGTGAGCACTCTACTTCTGAGCCACAACCCTTACCCTGCTTAGGATAATTTTTTAAAGGTAGAATTGATTGGCTAAAACTTTTGCATAATTTTAAAGCTATAATGCATGTTGTCAAACCTACATAAAAATAGGTTATATTGTCATTAAGTGTGTAAGAATGCCTTTTTTCCTAATCAAATAGAGACTGTTGTTTTTCATATGTACTAATCTTTTGTGCTTCTCAATTTATCATTGCATCTTTTTTTAAAAATAAGAACAATGCATAGCTGTGGTCATAATAAAATAGATTATATTTAAAAATTCTGGTTCAAAAAGTTTCTATTAGATTCTGCTTGAATGAAAATACGAGAAAGTTAATATTGCAACTTCTCTGTTTAAATAAGTTTCACATTATTGCCAGGAGCATTGCTGCACATCTGTAATCCCAGGGACTCAGGAAGCTAAGGCAGGAAGATTTGCAAGTTTGAGGCCAGCCTCAGCAATTTAGCAAGACCCTAAGCAACTTAGTGAGACCCTGTCTCAAAAAATTATCAAGTTCTCAGGATGTAGTGTAGTGGTAAATCACCCCTAGATTCAATTCCCAGTACAAAAAAAAAAAAAGTAGTCACATTATTACCTTGGAAAGAAATGACTTTATGTTCAAGAATCAAATAGCCAGGTGTTGTGGCACATACCTGTAATCCCAGCAGCTTGGGAGGCTAGGGCAGGAGGATCGGAAGTTCAGAGCCAGCTTAGCAACTTAGTGAGTCCCTAAGCAATTCAGCAAGACCCTGTCTCTAAATAATACACAAAAAAATGGCTGCAGATGTGGCTTCCTGATAAAGTCCCTATGTGTTCAATCCCTGATATCCCCCTCCCCCTCATAAAAAAAAGAAAAGAAAAACATCCAGCAAATAAAAGGATAGGAAGTTGTTTGCCTCTCCCAGGTTATATAACTCTGCCTAAGAACACAAAAGGATAAAAGAGGAATAAGATTTGCCCTCAGACATTCTGATTTGGGCTAACCTGGTGGAAGACTCACAAGCTTTCAGATTGATCTCCCTTTTTAAAAAAAAAAAAAATTATTTATCTATTTTTTTGGTACCAAGAATTGAGTCCAGGGACACTTAAGCATTGAGATACCTCCCCAGCCCTATTTATTTTTATTTTGAGGTAGGGTCTCCCTAGTTGTTTAGGGCCTCACTAAGTTGCTGAACCTGGTTTTGAATTTGTGATCTTCCTGCCTCAGTCTCCCAGGTCAGTGGGTTTATAGGGTTGCACCACCAAGCCTGGCTTTTTTTTTTTTTTTTTTTGCCTCACACATGCTAGGCAAGAGCACTCCAGCACTGAGGTATATCTCCTGACCCTTTTTTCTCTACTTTCCAGCCCTCTTTAATTAGCAGCCTAGTTAAGCAATGTACACACAACTGCAGTGGCTTTTAATGTTTTGCTTTGAATTTATCCTACCTCCTAACTAGTAATGAAATGAAATGTATTATAGGTTTTTTTTTTCTAATTTGAAAATAAATGCATAAAAAATGTAGATTTAGGGGGCTGG